AGGAGCTAATTTAGCCATTTAAATCAGCTGTGTTGGTTCAAGGACACATCTAAAACCTGCAGGGACACCGGCCCTCGTGGACTGAGATTGCCCACCCCTGATTTAGAGACTATGCTAATAAAGCCAAATGCACTGGAGAAAAAGTGAAGAAAACCAGACAAACAAACAAGAAACTTTGTACCTTCTGAAAATCTTTGTCAGGTGCATAAGTGTAACATTTACACAGTATTAAGCCCTAAGCACTCAGTTCACTCCCTTTCCAAAGTCTGTTTGGTATATAGATGCTGACACCAGCTGTGATGTAAAAACCCAGCCAACACAGGCCCAAAGGAGAAGAACCAGGGTATGTTATGCAGAGTATTGGGTCCTTATGAATTCAGAATAAACTAATTTAATATTCACCATATTCACCATTACATGTTGCCTGGTTCTTTTCATGTTGATACTGATGGTTTGATGTCACTGTTTTCATGTGGGTGGCTGAAAAAAATCAAGAAAAACATATTTGTAATGACTTTTTTTCCTCTTTCCTGAAGACTTTTAAACTATTTTCCAGATTTCACAGGAATACTGAAATACCACCGGCAGTTTCTTCTCAAACATATCGAGTTCTTATTTGCTTTGTTTTTGACCCCACAGGACTCTGCAAATGCATTTTCTGACACTCAAGCCACGCCCCAGGTTAGTAATGAAGTAAATGTATATAGCACCTTTCTAACTTACATGCTATCTTTACATTAAGCAATAAAGATAAATGTAATCAAATGCCTAAGGAGCTTGAAAGAAAAACATCTGGACTTCTTAGGTGTCTTGAAGATGTTTCACCTCTCATCCGAGAAGCTTCTTCAGTTCTAAGAGGTCAAATGGCCCAGGATGTGAGTGGGCGTTAAGGCAGGGATTTAAAATCTGGGACTTGTCACCACTTGCTCTTAGAACTCGTGAAGCTTCTCCAATGAGAGGTGAAATGTCTTCAAGAAAATTATAGAAGTCCAGACGCTTTTCTTCCCAAGCTCCCTAGACTACGGTGACCTGGATGGCTGAGAACCTTGACACACAATTTAATCAAATGTTTATCGGTGGGTTTTTTTTCAAGATACAATTGGGAGGTGAGCATGCTAATATGTTTGCACAGTGCTATTATGTCATTGTGTAAATAAAACTACACACAGACATTTCAGTGAGAATTCGGTCTTTATTTACTCATGTAATCTCTAATGCAGTACTTAGGTAGAATATACTGTGATCAAATTGTCAGAATTCCTCTTAAGAATAATTGTTTCATAAACTGGCTAATATAAATGCGACTAATACTGAAATCAGTGAGTTAAACATGCTTACATCTATTGGAACAGTGCCTCATATGACAGCCACGTATACATAAGAAGATACAGCCTGCTCTACATTTGACCCATTGAGTAACGACAAACAAAGGAAAGAGAAAAAGGGTGGTTTAAACTGCTATGTTTAAATACTAAACATATAAAGATGTTGAGGTAGGAATATTATACTAGGGTGACGTGGCATTTCACAACTTACCAGAAACAGTTGGTGATTTAAAAGAGAGATGTTAATTGCTTTTCCATGTTTGGTTAGCTTGTGACTTTGAAGTTGTCATTCCAGTTTTTGGTCCCCATGCTTGACATATTTTACTTTAAACACCTGGTAAACAACGCTGCAGTAACCTTTCAATTTGGGACTATTTCTTTTCACCAAAACTAGATCATCTATCATCTCATGAAGTTAAATGAACTAAAAATGCATTATTAGTCTAATGCATGGGTTCTTTGACTCACTTGATCTTGTCCTCTCTTTATCGAGTCCTCTTGAGTACAACATGATTTCATTTTTTGCAGTTCACGGGTTTCTGCCTTTCATATAACAAAACATTAAGAATTAATCTATTGCTGTCAACGTCATTAAATTTATATAAACACAAACAACATCAAAAACTCTTTTTTTTCTTGTTCGCTAACAGAAATTTCTAAGAAGTAATTATAGTGTTTATATAGTTTATAGATTTACATTTTTGCTGTTCCTGATATGATTACGTGACAGTTTAAATGAAAAAATAGAAAGGTGAAACTAGGTGGTTAGTCAGGTCTGTCGAGGTTGGCATAAAATTTTGGAGAGTAATAAAATTGAAGCATGTAAATACAGTTATAGTAAAGCTAAGGCGGCAGTGTACAGATGTTTTAAAGAGAAAAAAAAACTTACACAGTAACATTTTTTTGTTTGTTAATGCCTAGTTGTAGGCAGTTTTGTGAAGCTGTTATTTACAGCTTACATTAATATTTCACAACAGGAAGCGTCACTGTGTTAAACCTCAGATGATTTATAAGCTTTGCTGAAATCGCAACACAAACGCAGGTTCAATCTTTTTAGACGAGATTTTAGGCTCATTTAGAAATTCTGTCTAGTGTTCCATGTGTCACCTCTTGTTCCAGGAGGTAGTTAAAGTTCAGACATTGCAATTGGCTGAAGTACCAGTGCGCAGGGAAGGAACGGACCTGGATCCTCTAGACGTATGTTTATCTTATTTTTTCTGGTGTATGTTCTGTGGATTTTAAATTTCTTTCTCCATACAGTCACAAAGCAGTAAGTTAAAAGACTGTTTATTTCCAGGATGACGAAGGCCTTTTGTCCTGGTGGAGAACAGTCGAAGGTATCACTGATTTACTGTTAACCTTATTTATTGTTGTTGAAAGTTGCACCTCATAACGTCTTTCTGTGCCTTAGGTTGGGATGAGTGGAATGAGGCAAACCAGAATGATGAAACTGAAGAGTAAGTAGAACAATCAGTTTATTACACTCACTGACAACTTCACCTCTTAAACTGCACATTAGTGCAAATAGTTGGCCAATCATATGGCGGCAACTGAGGCATTTAGACATGTTCAAGCCAAGCAAATGCGATTTCACTGAAATTGATACTGATTTTAAACATAACCTGGTTGTTGGTCCAAGTGTTTCAGAAACTGCTGATCTGCTGGGATCTTCCCACACAACCATCTACAGTTTACAGAGAATGATCCAAGAAAGAGAAAATCTCCAGTCAGCAGCATTT